AATAACTACTCATTATGCTACGGATTCGAAATTTCTCTTTGGGACTTTTCCTGAACAAGATGAATTCTAACAATGTGAAAGAATCTTGGAGGTATTTTGTGAATTATACTGAAGTGATTTTCTAAAATTATTTTTCCTGATTTCATTGTCCTTTTTCAGGAGATGAATTTCGGTGTTTAGTTTAAAGTGTAAACAAAGATTCATCTAACAAATAGGGGGAAGCACAACAAATATCATCAATTAAACTATGTTGAGAGGACTACGGAATCTTCTATTTATCGGAGTTTTAATAGGTGTCTATTATAATCTTGCTTTTTCATATCTTGATAGGACTATAGATAATTATTCATCATATTTACAACAATTCAACCATGAAATCACCGATACCATCTACAACCCTCTTAAAAGAGGACTACCAAAGCTTCCAAGTAATACATACTTAGATCCAGAGTTTGCTAAAAACAATCAACGTCAACAAATTGGTAAAGAAAATGCTACTTTAGTAATGTTAGTTCGAAATATGGAACTTGAAGGGGCATTGAAATCAATGAGATCTTTAGAGGATAGATTTAATCGAGAGTATAAATATCCATGGGTATTCTTGAATGATGTTCCTTTTGATGAAGATTTCATAATGAAAACGAGTTTAATGGCAAGTGGGAAGACATATTATGAATTGATTCCTGAACTGGATTGGCAACCTCCTAGTTTCATCAATGAAACTAAACTACAAGAGAATTTGGATAAATCGAGAACTAAGGTGATATATGGAGGTTATAGATCGTATAGAAACATGTGTCACTTCAATTCAGGATTCTTTTATAAACAGAAACGATTGTTGAATTATGAATGGTATTTCCGGGTAGAGCCAGATGTTGAATACATGTGTGATTTCCAATATGATCCATTTGAATTATTAAGAATAAATAACAAGATCTATGGATTCATTGTCACTTTTCATGAGTATGAAAATACTATACCTACACTTTGGCAAACCGTCGAAGGGTTCATGAAAGAACATCCTGATCTATTACATCCCAACAATGCATTGAAATTCATAACTACAAATGAAACCTCGCTTAACCATTTCGTCGATCTTGTCCCATCTTCAACAGATTATAATCTATGTCATTTCTGGTCGAATTTCGAAATTGGCAATTTGAATTTCTTTCGTAGTGAGGCATATGCCAAATATTTTGATTATTTAGATAAAGCAGGTGGATTTTATTATGAACGTTGGGGTGATGCTCCAGTACATTCGATAGCGTTGGCTTTATTGGCTGATAAAGACCAAATCCATCATTTTGAAGATATTGGATATTTCCATGCCCCGTATTTATCATGTCCTAGTTCGGAAATGATTAGAGCTTCAAAGAGATGTATATGTGAGCCAAGGGTAGAGAAAAAGATTAATAAGACCATTGATGTGAATGTATATAGTTGTTTGGCAAGATGGTGGAAGTATGGGTCTGGGAAAACGTTCCTTAATGATGTAGACTATACTAGATGAGTAAAATAAACATTTTTTTTGCAGCTATTCCTTAGATTAGGCAATGTTTCACTTTGATTTCCTCTTAGTAAAATTTCGTAGAATTTTTCAAGAAGAAAGAACTGGGGTGAGTCTCTTAACTCGTTTTCGTTTGGCTTGTTTCATAGGGCTGCTTACAGTTTATTGTGTTATGGCTTGTCCGATTCAATTTTGCAACACTCTATATTAACTAAATTCCCATATACTGCGAGTTAGCAACAAAAAAAAATAATTGTTAGCATCTTCAATCTCATCGCACTTTTTTAATTAAATTTTTCAGAATCCATCTCTCTCTTTTATCTGTTTAAGCTTAATAGAACTATACAAAATAAATACACATAAACCTAAAAATGGCTAGAGGGGGTTTAAAACAACAGTTAAAGCATCATCAATTAGTTGAATCTATTGATAAATCAAAATCAAAGCCAGTCCACAAAAAGAAAGAAGAGATCATAGAGCAAGAACAGGATGATGATGAATCAGAAGAAATTCCAGTACCTGTTCAACCAAAGAAAGTAAAGAAATCTAAAAATAAGAAGGATGACGGTGATTATCAGAGTGAAGTTTTGTCTAAGAAAGAACAAAGAAAGTTAAAGAAATTACAAGCTGAAAAGGAACAAGAAGTAGTAGAAGAGGAAGCTGATTCTGAAGAGGATGAAGAAGAAGAAGAATTAGATTTGGAAAGATTGGCAGCTAGTGAAAGTGAAAGTGACATCAACGATGAAGAAGATGAAGATGAATCAGACGATGACGACGAAGAAGAAGAAGAAGCAGATGCTGACGAAGATGCTGCAGAAGAAGAAGATGTTCCATTATCAGATGTCGAAATTGATTCCGATGCCGATATAGTTCCACACACCAAATTGACCATCAATAATATGGCAGCCTTAAGGGAATCATTAGCTCGTATTGAATTACCATGGGCTAAGCATGCATTCACCGAACATCAATCTGTTGTCAGTGCTGAAAAATCAGAAACCCAAATCAAGGATATTTATGATGATACTGAAAGAGAATTAGCATTCTATAAACAAGGTTTAGATGCTGTTAAACAAGCCAGAGCCACATTATTGAAATTAAAGGTTCCATTCTCAAGACCAATGGATTATTTTGCTGAAATGGTTAAGAGTGATGAACATATGGATAAATTAAAGAATAAATTATTGACTGAAGCAGCAAATAAGAAGGCATCTGAAGAAGCTAAGAAACAAAGACTGTTAAAGAAATTCGGTAAACAAGTCCAACATGCTACTTTACAAGAAAGAGCTAAACAAAAGAGAGAAACTTTAGATAAGATTAAATCATTGAAAAAGAAGAGAGGTGCTAACGAATTAGGAAATGATGATGATTTCCAAATTGCATTAGAAGAAGCTACTCGTGAAGATAATAATGGTAGAGGTGGTGATAATAAGAGAAGAAAACCAAACTCTAAACGTTTGGCCAAGGATTCTAAATATGGCTTTGGAGGAAAGAAGAGATTAAGTAGAGAAAATGACGCTCAATCATCCGCTGATATTAGTGGATTTTCTAGTAAGAAGATGAAGGGTAAATCTTCTAGACCTGGTAAATCTAAACGTACTAGAAGAAATTAGGTGTATTGTTTGTATTGTATAGATATTTTTGTAAATTAAACTAGCATATTTTGTTACCGCCCTTGTAAAAGACAATAATTCTGGATCCAGTCACTTTATCTTAGAGGCTCCTCGTTCTGGGGTACACGGTAGATGAAATGTAACATAATCTATGGCTGTTAAAAAATCGCTGCTCGTATAATAAAATGAAAATCTCTGTCACCTCGTAAAATAAAAAAGAAAAAACCGTTTTGTGGTTTCGAGTGTGTCGTTTCGCGTATTAAATTAAATTTTCAACGTTCATCTAATCAAATTGCTTAAATTACCTTTCTTTTATACCACACACTCCAAATAGATCAATAGACACAACAGCCATGTCAGATAAGTTAGCAGCCAGACAAAGATTCCTCGATGTTTTCGAAGGTTTAGTCGAAGAATTGAAAGAAATTCTTATTTCTTATAAGATGCCGCAAGAAGCCATTGATTGGTTTGTCAAAAACTTAGATTACAATACTCCAGGTGGGAAATTAAACAGAGGTTTATCTGTAGTCGACACTTATGCTATCTTAAACAAAACTACTTCTGATAAATTATCTGATGACGAATATAAGAAGGTTGCTATTTTAGGTTGGGCTATTGAATTATTACAAGCTTATTTCTTGGTTGCTGATGATATGATGGATCAATCCAAGACTAGAAGAGGTCAACCATGTTGGTATTTAGTTGAAGGGGTTAACAATATTGCCATTAATGATTCTTTCATGTTGGAAGGTGCCATTTATGTTTTATTGAAAAAACATTTCCGTAATGATTCTTACTATGTTGATTTATTGGATTTATTCCATGAAGTCACTTTCCAAACTGAATTAGGTCAATTATTAGATTTGGTCACTGCTGATGAAGAAGTTGTTGATTTAGATAAGTTCTCCTTGGATAAGCATTCATTTATTGTTATTTTCAAGACTGCTTATTATTCATTCTATTTACCAGTTGCTTTAGCCATGTATATGAGTGGAATCAGTAATGAACAAGATTTAAAACAAGTTAGAGATATCTTGATTCCATTAGGTGAATATTTCCAAATTCAAGATGATTATTTGGATTGTTTTGGTACACCTGAACAAATTGGTAAAATTGGTACTGATATTAAAGATAATAAATGTTCTTGGGTTGTTAATCAAGCTCTTTTACATGCTACTCCAGAACAACGCAAATTATTGGATGAAAACTACGGTAAGAAGGATGATGTCTCTGAACAAAAGTGTAAAGATTTATTCCATGAAATGGGAATTGAAAAGATTTATCATGATTATGAAGAATCTATTGTTGCCAAATTAAGACAACAAATTGATCAAATTGATGAATCTAGAGGTTTAAAGAAAGATGTCTTGACTGCTTTCTTAGCCAAGGTCTACAAGAGATCTAAGTAAATAGATCATACCCTCTCATATGACAATCCTTTTTAAATAGTTAAAATTAGATTTACTAAACTTAATAAAAGACAAATAGACAAACACAGCAATTCAATCTTTATACAAAATGGAAATGATATTTTTATTAATGCCAGTACTATGTATATAAAGGTTATATATCTCATAAATATATATGTTACTGTCTCTGTTTCTGTTTCAGCAACATAAAGTTTGTTCAATTATCTCTAAATTCTCAGTGGGATATTTAATCTATTGTTTAAACATTAACTCTTTCCAATTCTTCTCTACCTTCCTTAGTATACAAGTATTCATTGTAGTCTCTAGCATTGGCCCAGATGTTCCATACAATGACAGCTGGAATGGCAACAAACAAGAATTGGTTCTTAGTTCTTCTAAACACATTGAAGACAGCATTATAAGCAGCACCCTTTAATGGTTTAGCAGCATATGGAGAAATGGTATATTGAGTAATGTACTTTTGCTTTGGAGATCCTAATTTACCCCACCAGCCCATATAGGCGTGTGGATGTGGTGGTCCGGCCATGATTTATATATATAATTAGTGTTGGTTGATTAACTACTAAGAAATATAAAACTAAATTGTTATATTTTTCAAATCCTTTTTTTTTCTCACTAACTTTTTGGTGGTAGAATTATTTGCTTAACAAACTAATTTTACTGTCAATTATTGGTTGGAATTATATGCAGGTGGGAAAATCTCAATGCTACCAATTGTAGAGCGCTACCCATTTTCTTGATTCTTAATGTCTTCAATTGCTGCAAAAAGACCAATTATCAAAAAGTGGAGTAGAGACAACAACCAGCTAGCAGGATCGGAGGTTACCAAGTGCGATCTACACTCAAGGGTCTCCAAATATGGGTTTGTTCCAATCTTGCTATTGCTTTGCAATCTTTAAAACTGAGAAGTACTCAGTAGAGCATCTCCAGCTTATACAGAGAATTATCAACGTTTAAGAATGAACTACTTAGATGCATATTAATTAAGATGAACACTTGGTTGACATTTCAATCGTTTATCACTTGAAATATTCTCGGTACTAGTGTATAATGAGTGAAGGTAAAGCCAGGATCTTTCGCTAGTAAGTCATCAACGGTGGTGTCGGCACACTTCTTATTTACTGGAGAAAATCGTGAGAACGGTTCAGAATCGACTATTATTAGACAGAAATTGCACTATTGGAAGATAGTGTATCTAATTATAACAAAGATTTGTTGGGTCACCTTTTAATACCTCTATATTCAGTATCAAGTTTTTTACTAGTTGTCTTACTGGACAGATGCAGCATACTAGGCTTGGAAGCACATACAGAAAACACAACGACGAAGGTTGACTACTTTAGCGAAGAAGCTTGTACCTTCCCAGATTATGGAACGCAGTTTCGTAAGTAGAAACACGAGATAGGAGCTCTTTCAGATCTGATGTAGTTTGACTCAAGCTGCTCAGTAGATTTCGTCGCTAGAGACGTTCGACCACTGATTCACGGATTTGTGGGATAGAAGTAGAAATTTTACAAAGAAGTTGAGTTTTGAGATTGATTGACGTCCTTTAATCTTATCATTTACATTTCCAATCAAATATCCACGTTTCTGTTCCTTCTAAAAAAACGACCGTAATTCGGTCCTCATATGTAGGTGGAACTTCATTCGTAGAACATTTATCTGATCTCGCTGTATAATCGATGATGATATCAAGTAATGTCATTTATCTCTCTCCCTAAAAACTCATCTTTTCAAATTGAACAAAGACACAATAAATATTAACACGGATAATATATATTTTATAATTTTTAGTATGTATTATATATTATTATGGGATGGTTGTAGATTTGAAATTGTACATTGGATGTTGCAAGTGTTGGTTGGTTGGTTTCTCTGCTATATTACTATCATTTTGCTTCTTATACATATATTTGTTTCATTAAAAAATAACTTTTATTAAAGGTCATTACAAAAATATTTAAGCAGCAGTTAAACGTTTTTGAGCAGATAATCTACCTCTTTGTCTAACATTTAATCTAACTTTCTTGTCATCAGCAGCCTTTTCAACGGCTTCACCTTCTTCAGTTAAAGTTAATTCAATGTGGGATGGAGTGGATTGGTAAGCATTAATTCTACCGTGAGCTCTGTAAGTTCTTCTTCTTTGCTTTGGAGCATGGTTAACTTGGATGTGAGAAATGACTAATTTAGAAGCATCTAAACCTTTAGCTTCAGCATTAGATTGAGCATTTCTTAATAAATCCTTAATGAAGTTAACAGACTTAGCTGGCCATCTAGCCTTGGTGACATCGAATTCTTTACCTTGAGCGGTTCTACCAATAGAAGAGTTGTATCTTCTGAATGGAATGGCTCTCTTGTGGTCTAAAACTTGATCCAAGTATTGTTGAGCTCTGTCTAATTTCCAACCATTGATGGCTTGAGCAGTTTCTCTGGTGTTCTTGAAAGAAACTCTTAAGTAGGAACCACGGGCAGAAGCAGACTTGGCTGGGTTAGCAGGGGTAGAAGCGTAACGAACCATTGTGTATCTAATGTTTGTTAGTTGGTATGAACAAGCTCTTCTAAAAGAATAGTTCCTTATAAAAAACTTATAATATTGAAAAATGAAAAGTTTTGGTGAAGGTTTTTCCTGTGTTTCGCAGTACTATCTCTCACTATTAGAAAATTTTTCGATAGTGTTAATTATTGAAGTTTGGATGTAACTGGGGTCTTTTTTCTCTTGTGCTGAAGTCCATCACTATAAGTTGAAGACTATTATAGAAAAATGTATGTAGTGCACTTACCAAATCAGATTTTCTCCTGTGTATTGTGGTTAGGGTTGAACCCTAATTAATAGCACGTGATAGACTTGCAACCGTATAGATTAGTTTTGTGATCTGTACACTACTAGACTATCAATCAAGTCAAGTACAAACAGTACATGAGAGTTAACAAACTGCTAATCTTTTATAAAAGGGCCATCTAGAGGATTTTGCTATAACCATAGATATTAAACTTAGATACTTTAATTGCCTGCTATTTGAATGTGAGATGCTCTTCTAATCTAATGAAAACATAGCTGCGAAAAACTTCTCGCTTAACACGACAGACAGTGATGTATGCAAAGATCTAGAACAAAGTTGGGATAAGTACTTACCATGATTTCGGAAGGTACTTCATTTCCTGTTACTTCATTAGGAGTTGGTTGAATGATAAGGTACTTGTGTCGTGTAAAATCTAGATAACTTATGTAAACATAGAAAAGGAACACTTTTTTTGCAATTTTTGTGCAAATTAGTTACATAACGGTCAAAAAGCGCAAAATATATTTGCTATTGCAGAATGAATAGAAAAAGCGTTGTGCTGAATTCAAACCATTTCATTCAAGACAAATGTCAATCAAAGAGAAGTGTCAATTGTAATAGGCTGTCGCTTGACGAAAAAGTTTACTACAACTAAGAGAGAAAGTACAATCTCTTTTGACGACGACGAGGGGGGATAATAATTCCAGAGATATGGGTGTGGCGCTGATGAATTTGAGACAAACATACATGCAGGAAGGTATAAAAGATCTTTATGTTCAGTGGTTCTTAGTAGGTTGTTTTTTTGGCTTTTTCTTGTCGGCTGTTGGTCTTAAGAAAAACCGAAACCATATGTTACCCACAAATAGTTTATATCGAAGGTGGGTGTAATCGGGTGCATGTTCATGTTAAATTATAATATCGATCTTTAACTTTTCTAGCGACGAATTCGTTTTATTAATCGATTTGTGTCTATTTTGTAATTCATTATCGTCTAGGAGGAATTCAAATGGAACTGTGCGTTACTACCCATCATTTAAATTAAAATGAAATTGAAAGATTCAAAAGCGAATGAAAACAAAAAAATAAAAATAATTAAAATGTAAAAGTCAAAAAAAAATAAAGAATATTTTTTAATTTAAATGCACATTTAAATAATTTTATTGTTGTTGATAAATTGACTTTATTAATCAGGGCTTTTTTATAAAGCAATGAATTCCAAATTCTTTATTCATATGATTTTGACATTCCAACATTTACTTAGTTATCCTATTTTGACGTTATCTTTATCAGTAGATAATTTCGTAAAACATCAAGGGGTTGTGAAGTAACAAATATTAAAAATGTACGCATGCGTGATGTAGAGAAATATATAAATTATAAAAAAACAAATTATTTAACTATTAAAACAGAATAATATTTTTTTTTTAAAGTTTTTCTTACATATTAAAATAAAAAATAATTTTTTTAATAAAGAGAATCAGAAATTAATTTTACATAAAAATCGGTTAATATCCTCCCCCTTTAGTTAGGATTCCATAACGGGTTACTACATGTACATAATATCATCAACTTTTGTAAAAGCAAGTAAATAAATATGAAATAAATTACCTTGTCAATTTTTTTTTCTAATTTATTCGTTACTCTTCTTTCTTCTTTTCAATTTACTTTTGCAGTATCGCTTACAATTCGGGACTGTTTTTTTTGTTTTGAGAAATCAGATTATTGCTGGAGCGATTAATCAGATTACTATGCAAACCATTTGAAATATATATAACTGAAATCCTGATCTCGAAAGATTGAAATTTACTTAGAATGTCAAACAAGTGGAAAGTGGTGCAAACAACAATATTCAATTGTGGGTAAAATGGAAAAGAGCAAAGACAAGGAAATTAAACTTGGACATCACTTTTTTGCTGTTTGTTACACAAAGATAGTTACTGGTTGATGGGAATATCGGGCAAGGGTAAAATGATGATGACATATTTAGAATTTAATGGTTTGTAATGAAATGAACTCTTTAGTGAAATCAACGTGCGGAGTGGGTTCTGACGGATCATAAGGGTAACTTATCCCCACCAAACATCTATACTGTGGCATAGAAAGAGAACAATTAAATATGACAAGAGAAATGTGTAACAAAATACACGACTAATTAGGAGAATAATAGAAGAAAAAAGAAGAAGAAGTAAATGTGGAAAAAAAAAGTGAGGAGATTTAAAATTAGAAATGAGGTGCAAATATTAAGAGAATAATAAACAACAACAACACGTAAAAACAATTGAGAAAGAAAGATTAAATTTTGTTTTAGAATTAAATTAATAAAATTTTGCAGCCATTTTTCAAATCTTCTTTTTTTATTTTGCAACTTACAAGAGACTATTTAGATTTTTACAAATCTTCAATCAATCAGTTTCAATTATTAATAAGTAAGTTAGAGAAACACTTAACTTTAGCCAGAAAATTATCTGAGGCAAGTTCTAAAAATCAAAGTTAAAAAGCAGAAAAAAGGATTTCTGCGTACGTGTTTTACACCCCAGGATACATTCAAGACCGTCGGATTACCATCGTCGAATAGTTAATTCTTAAACCTAGTCACCATCCAATATATACATCAATATTAACCAAAGAAATCACGCTGGTTAGAAAGAGAAATATTAGTCGTGTACTTTATCCCAAAAATTACTTATTAGGAAATCCCACCAGAAGAAAAAAAAAAAACAGTGGAGGTTGTTGTAAAAAAAAAACATTCCCATAACTTTTACCACCAACTTATCATCATTGGTTTTATATACACTACTCCTCACTTCATCAATCAGAATCTAATAGATTGAAGAATAGTAATAATCAAGTGGTATTTATTAAGAAGTCATCATCGTATTCATACCATCTAAATAGATTAATTACTTAACTCAAAAACAACCATCGTTTTTTTTTACAACACAAAGTATTTTTACAACCACTTCCCCCAATTCAATCATTTCATCAACACCAACAACAAAATATAATAGTCATCTTGTAATACCATATCATTAACATTCCCCATCAATTGTATTCCCATTTCTATTTGCATTATAATATAATATGAGTTCAGAAAGCCCAAACAATGAAGGTTCAGCAACCAATACTCCAACTGTAGAAGAGGATATCAAGAAACAACAACAAGAACCACAGGCCGAAGCTACTGAATCTAATGGAGTGAGTACTAGTCCTAGCGTAAGTGGCAATGACAGTGCTAGCGGCAACGAAGACGACGAAGAAGAAGGAGAACAAGAATCACAACTAGAGGAAGGTGAGTCTGAAGCACTGACTGATAAAGAACAAAGTGAAGAACCAGCACAAGTCCAAGAGCAGGAAGCAACTAATATCGAAGATACTACACAACAAATTGTAGCGGATGACACGTCAAATCAAGTTGAGGAAAATCAAGAAGAGGCGGTACCGGTAGAAGTAGAAGAAGAGGCAGTGCTGGAAGAAATAGAAGAAGAATCGGAATTACCTGAAACTTCAGAATTTCCAACTGAACAACCATCTATAGAAAGCTCTGCTCAACCGGAAAATACAGAAGAAACAGGAAAAGATTCAAGTATGGCCCCAGAAGATGCCGAAATTCTTTCACAATTCAAAGAGCCAGAACCAGAAATAACTCAGGATACAGGAACAGCGGAAGCATTACAAGAATCAACACCACAAAATGAAAACGCAGAACAAATCGACGAGGGGATCCAACTAGATATACCTGACTTGGATGAACCAGAAGAAAATAATGATAATGATTTAATTCCTACAGGCGTTCCTAACGAATCAGTTTCTGAATTTGAACAACCTGAACCCAAGGCAGAACCTCAACCAGAAACAGAAGTAGAACAAGTGCAGGAGCAAGCAGAAGAAAAGGAAGAAATAAATGAATACCAAGAAGCGGAAATGAGACAAGAAATGGGCGAGGAAGAAGAGTTAAGGAAGATTCAAGCTGATGATCCCTCCTTTGACGCTGATTTTAATGTGGATGAGCTCGATAAATCGAAAGATGATTTTGACACTTCGTTCTTGGATGTACCCGAAGATGAAGATCAGTTTGATGAAGATATTGAGATGACAAATGTCGAAGATGAGGAGGAAAAGGAAGAAGAAACTGGCGAGGTTACAAAGGATGAACCAACTGCTGCGGAAACGAAAGTGGAAGATGAAGCCAAACCCGAGGTAGAAGAACTATCTAAGCAAGATGAACAGGAAGACAAAATAGAAGAAGATAAGACCCAGGATATCGTTGACCTTCCGGGATCGGAAAGTACCGCTGAACCAAGTATATCAGAGAAGCCCAACGAAGACGAACGTGTTTCTACTGCTGCATCTACAGTTTCAGTTGTTGAACATATTAAATCAGAAGCTCCACCTCCTTCTACAGATAACCAAGAAAATAAGCTCGAACAACAAGTGCAAGCACCTCAAGCACCAGATGCAATTGTCGAAGACGAGGAAGAAGAAGACGAAGAAGAGGAAGAAGAAGGCGAAGAAGATAATCAAGAGAAACAAGCATATACCAAACAAACTCATTTAATTGTGATTCCATCGTATGCAAGTTGGTTTAATATGAAGAAGATTCACAAGATAGAAAAGGAGTCATTACCAGAATTCTTTGATACCAATCATCCATCCAAATCTTCCAAGCTTTATGTCAATTATAGAAATTTCATGATCAATTCTTATAGATTAAACCCTAATGAGTTTTTAACCTTAACTTCCTGTCGTCGTAATTTAGTTGGTGATGTGGGAACATTGATGAGAGTACATCGATTCCTAAATAAATGGGGATTGATAAATTATCAAGTAAAACCACAATTCAAACCAGGATATGCAGTTGAAAAGATGCCGAATGGTCAGTCGGTAGATTTGCCTTTTACTGGTGATTATCATGTCAAGTATGATACCCCGAGGGGACTCTTTCCATTTGATACTTCAAGAATCCCACCTGAACGAATTGATGTTACTAATTTGAAGAAGCTTTTGGTAGGACCGGAGACAACTAGTGCAACAACAGCAAGTAGTGGAAGTTCAAATGCCGATGCTTCCAGGGGTGCTTCAGCAGGTTCTGCGGCTGATCAGAATGGAAATCATGATAATAGAAAGCATGGACTAGAAGATAATGAAAGTAGTCAAGTGACAAAGAAACAACGAGTGAATGATGGATGGACTTCCGAAGAAGAAAATCAATTAAGTATTGCTGTTAAGAAGTTTAAGAATGATTGGTTTAAGATTGCTGCAGAAGTAGGAACGGATAAGACTCCAGAACAATGTATTTTGAAATTCTTGGGGTTGGATATTGAAGATTCCTTAAATCCATTCAATGATGAAAACAGTCCCGTTCTGAAGTTGTTGAAATTTGCTCCTAATTATCCCATCAGTTCTATTGATAATCCTGCATTGGCTAATTTGGCATTTTTGACCAGATTGGTGGATAGTGATGTTGCCAAAGCTGCCAGTGAAGCTGCTAGAAAAGCAATTGATTCATGTATAGAAAAGAAGGTTAATGAAGTGTATAATAAGTCTCAGGGTGAAGAAGGAAAGCTTAAGATGGAAGGAAGTAGTGATGCAGTTGAATTACCGGTAGCATCTGAACAGAATGGTTCGGTTGATAGAGAACCTGATGTTAGAGATGCTGTTGGTACTGCTTTTGGTATTGTGGGTGGTAGAAGTCATTTATTTGCTAGTTATGAAGAAAGAGAAATGCATAAGATTGCTGCTAGTATTGTCAATCAAGAATTATCCAAGATTGAACAAAAGTTGAATAAGATTGAGCAATTAGAGAGAATCTATGAAACGGAACATCAGAATTTGCTTAGACAACAACAGGATGTATTCATTGATAGATTAGCCTTGTCGAAATCTTCAATCAACGTGATTAAAAAGTTAGAAAATGCGATTGAATTAATTGAAACTAATGCAGGAAATGAAAATTCAGAACGCAAAGCAAATGTCGCCCTGTTGTTAAGTGAGGCTAAATCCTTATTGTATAAACCAGCTAGACAAATGTTGGTATCTAGTTCTTCAGCTTCGGCAGTGACTGATGCAACTACAAATCAACCATCCAAACAAGAAACAACTGCAAATATAGATGAGGATGATTATAAACCATTATCGTTGAAATCTCCTCAAAACTTCAAAGTATGGGTTCCTTAATCTTTCAACCCCCCATATATTGCTATTCATTTTTTCATTCTTCCTATGTTATTATTAGCTACAACCTTTTTCCAAAATTAAAAGAATTTTGTGTGTGTCATATATTATGTGTTTTGTTCTAAGTATATTATTATTTAATTTTGTTTATTAATTTTGTGTTTTTGTATATTATAAATTTCTCCTTTTAGCTTTATTAATAGTTTATTAATAATTTCATATAAATAAATATGTTAGAGGTCTTTTAAAGATTTATGTTATTCTGCTCTCACATTTGCTTCACATAATGTGCCGTCTGAGGAAGATAAACGACCGTGAATTTCCTCTTTCTTTGGAACTGGGACTTGAAAGGAGGAACAACCCATCATACTTTTATCACATTGAGTTCTCACGATACGCAAACACACAACAGTTAGTTCAAAGCTCGGAATAACGCGCTTGCGGCCGCAAAGTTCAACTAATGTTCGAGTAAGCACCCTCGAATTTTGTAATTTGAGGGCGGAAGCGCGACAGTCCTTGCATTGAATTGACCTTAAAGGTTGATACAGTATCTAGAGATGGTGGTCTATTAACCTATAAGGACGATATTTCATTTTACCATAATAAAATAGATAAGCAAGGCTCTGAAAAGATCAGATAAGTTTGCTGTCTACAATCATGGTTTAAATCAAAAAGTTACTCAAGTTGTATGTTGACCTCTTAGGTAATCAAGCATCGAAAGGCCAACAAATAATAAACGTCAATCAAAATCGGAATCTACCTACCATATCAATGACGTACAATTCCAATTTATACCCAACTTGTCTAATATCATTGATCGATCAATTGATTTAATAATGGACATGCCCGCTGATAATAGGAAGTTAGACCAAATCGAGGAATCCCAACACGCATCTAAGACATTGAACAAACATTTGATATGACTGCCAACTCTATTCATCCTATGAAACAGATAAACTTCATCTAGTCCATAACTTAGGTAATTAAATACTCTCCAAATCCACCAGAAGTAGATATTCCGCAATGGAAAAGGAACTACTGGCTATCTTTACCTAAATTGATTGCAAGCAACTCCTTCCCATTGCTTAATATATTTTCTAGGTGGATGTCAGTCTAGATGATAGAAATGAACTTGTTACAGGCCCTTGAGTTCCTTGAATAAGTTGATTCTTTGCAAATGGATCTTTCAATAATTCTGGGAAAACTATATGTACAAATGATTGTGGTTTGTTTGTTTAAGTATACTCTTTTCTCTAGTAAATTACCTCTTGTATTTGACGATGTTTTAACAGCAACATATATGTATCTACACTCTTAGTAAGATGAGTTAAGTTTTCGTCTAATTGGTCTATATTCAATGGATTCACTTCGAGTTGTTGCGCAAACAGCTAAACATACATACCTTACCTATATGGCCGAATTAGAAATAGGATCACGAGTTGTTGAAAATGAATTATACAAAAAGATCTTTGGTAACCAACTAATTGAAAGAAACAACAATAACAATAATAACAAGAGAAATGAGAAATTTGAAAAGAAAACAAAATTTAATCAGAAATGATTTTTTTTTTTCGTTAACTTTAATGAATTATAATTAAGCTTATAAGTTTCATCTATCAATATAACTACCCACAGTTTATATACATCCACACACAAGTCACACATCAATCAATCATAAGACATTCACGTAAGTATACTTTTATAAGAGATGACTGATACTAACAACCATATCCAATTAGAACCACAATTTGATTCAACATCTTTCCTGCTGCAACAACAACAACAACCGGAAGAAGACTTAAACTTAGAATCTGAAGCATGGGATACTTCAATACAAGAAAATGAGTTACGAAGAGCCTCTCATCAAAGTTTATTAGATGATGGAGATGAAGATGATATTGAAAATTTGGAAGAAAGCTATAGTATTAGTAGTGGCAATGATGAAGACGAAGTCGCGTCTCATGATGGAGTTGAGGGAGAAGAGAAGGATGGTCATAATGACGAGGTGGTTGTCAACACTGCTGAAAACGTATGGGAAACCGCGGAACCGAACGAAATAGAGACCAGCGATGTGAGAGCATATGTAGAGGAGGATGAGTTGAATGAAAATACTACAAAAGACGATGAAATTGAATTATTAGACGTATCAGAAGCGGACGTATCACCAACAACAAATAAACAAGTTGTAGAGATCGATGATCCCAGCGACAGTGAAGATGAACTCAAGTTACTTGATGTAGTGGGGTTTGATACTGATGGATTTTCCCAACGGGCAGTGGTAGAGACTTCTGAAATTGATCAACAAGTAAATCAAACAGAAGCTGAAGAGAAGACACAACAACCAACCGTCGAAAACAACGTAATTGAAATCCAATCAGAATCTGAAACGGAAGATATATCTCCAATAGAATCAAATCATATTCTTCTAGAAAATAATAATGAAGACAATCCTAGATTCATTGAAAATATTCCAGTGGTTTTAAATCTCTTGGATACAGAATTTCTATTATTTCCTATAAATCAAGAAACTTGTCTGACTGATTGTTCACATCTAATTTCATTATTTGACGATTATTCAAATCAATCAATGTCTATTAAAGATTTATTTGATTTCTTGAGATTTAATGAAGATTTGAATGAAATACGACAATTTCAAGCAGAAGAAGAAATGGTATTGGATATTCCAAATTTAGGAGGTTTACATATCACTGAGGATAATGTTTGTTGTAAAAATGTGTCTATTATTAGTTTTATTGAATTGTTTGCAAAATTGGTTGATTCTAGTGATGATAAACTAGATATACCACAATTCTTGAATTTAAATATTACTACTCAACCAAGATTTATTACTAAGTTTAATGAGTTGATTAACTCTGTTGAATTGGGAAATATTGGATTTCATAGTATGCATCAAAAGCGAGTATCAGAGGAAAATGAAGATGAAGATGAAGATGACGGGGACATTTCCAAGAAAAGAAGAAGAATAGAAGCATAGGGTCACCAATTCTAATCAATAGATCAAAATCTCTTATTCCGTAGGCAAATAATAATAAAAGCACAGCAATCACATATCCAATAAATTTAGCCTCTCTTTATTTCTGATTCTTCCGAACGGCTGGCCCGATAGATTTTACATTTATTTTGGGTTTAACATTGGACCTTAAGTAGATAGATCCACGTAAGAGGATATGCTAAGAAGAGTATTGAACCACTTCTAAAAAGAACACAGAGGTTAGTACAAATTATTTATTAAACGATCTATAAATGAACGAAATCTAATTTACCTAATTAACAAGCCCACGTTCTTTCAACTTTAAATACAACTCAGGATCAATATATTTCAGTAAAGAAGGCTCACCAGTCAACCCCTTTCTTCTTCTCGTCTTCATCATAAAATCTCTCGCCAACGACTCCGTCGGCACCGGCTTCAAACTTGGCAACACAACACTATCATCCAATGGATCACCCGGCACTATTTCCCAATTATGAAACACAAGTGAACATACCGCCTGTCCTTGTGAATACAGTGTAAGATCAGTCAGAAACCCCACGGATTCAATTATGGGTAAATATCCCACTACTTGGAACAATTGTGTTCCTGGAATGGGTGCATCTTTTTCATAGATCCCTCTTCGCAATTTTAATAATTCTTGTACGATTTTAATACAACGATAAGTACATGTCACGTCTAATCGATATACTGGTTCTAATAATCTTGGTTGTGCGGTTATGAAACCGGCATAGGCTGCTCTTCTTACCATTGGAATAATCGTAGCTGGGGATTTCGAGATGGAGTCACCTTGGAGGACAACGTCGAGGATTTTGAATTTTGTGTTGAGGATGGGTTCGTCGATTAGGGGTCCTTCTGTGGTTGTCCATTTAAATCCGGAGATGATGGAGTCTTTGATGGATAAGAGTGGGGATTTGTCTGTGTCTAATGTATCATCAAGAAGAATGTTCCGGGAGGATGAGGAATCAGTATTGGAGAATGCCCAGATTGATCTGGATGCAAGTGAATCCCAATCGAATTCTGTTCTTAATATTTTGGAAATTGTTTTCATGGGTTGCGATTTGATATTGATTCTACCGGTTGAGATTGCTTTGGAAAGTGATGGATCATTAACTGGTTCTGCGATAATTGAGATTGAATTCTCTTTCACCGTGATTGGAATCTTAGTAAAGCTTGTCTCTGAACAAGTTTCAGCAAAGCGAACCATCGGATCACTGATTTTTATCTGTAAGTCATCATTAAAGAAATTTCTTAAATCATGCAATATACAATCCATATAAAGTTCTCCTGGGGCGAGGATTACATGTTCACCACTTTCTTCGACATTTATGACAGATGCCAAATATGATTTATTCACTTTTCGTAAGCCATCCAACAAAAGTGGCAATTCTGACGGATTGGTCGGCTCAACTGCAATTTTAAACACCGAGTTGGTGGTATATTTCGGCACATCAAATACAGTTTCTAACTTCGGATCTTGTGACAAGGTAATAGTAACACCCGGTTTCTTAATAATCGAATCAATCCCAGGACCATCTACAATAACAATCATTCCTGTATGTGCTTCCGAAACGGGGACATTATATCTTCCACAAGGTAAATAGATATTTCCCACAACTTCCAGATTTTTGAAATCGTCATTGTCTTCAAGATAATTTTCACCATAGATTCGAATTTTATCACCTTGAGTGATTTTACCTTTATGAATACGGACTAAATTAGTGAATTTCTTTCCGTTGGATGATTCAATTAGTTTTGTAACTTGTGCGATCATGCTAACGTCATCTGAGTTGGGTAAGCTTTTGTTGGTCTTGGTTGGGGCAGGGATGGTGTTTGCTATGGAATCAATTAATGCACTTATACCATTGGTAAAGATAGCTCTAAAGACAGCTTTCAATAATACTTGAGCATCCTTTTTGTATTCTGATTTATGTATTGAAACTCGGAAATTTTGCCATAATAGTTTTGCTAATTTATTATCATCAGGGGAAGCAGTAATTGTATGAGTAATGATTTTATAGATTGGTTCTAAGATGAAGGAAATGAAAGTTCTTGATAATGAGTTGTTCATTGAGTCTGATGTGAATTTATGTTGATTTGGATCATAATAATAATCTCCCCATAACATGGTTGCAAATTTGGAACTATGAATTTTGGATTGATTAATGTTGAGATATAATTGAGCAAAACTCTTTAAACTAAATGCAAAATCCAATTTTGTTGAAGCAAATATGACATTGTTTAAAGTTGGGGATAGTATAGTGTCATGGGTATATGTTGCAATGTATTCGTTAGAAGCAATGTATTCATTAATATCATCAACAGTATATTTCAACTTTAAATAACAATCTTTAATAGGTAATCGCAATTCCAAAATCAATCTATCCAATTTATTCAATATCAATACAATTGGAACATTATGTTTTATAATTTCATTTATTAATAATTTATCACGATTTGTTAATCCTTCAACTATATCAATAACCAATATTGCTCCATCACCAGAATTCAATCCAACTAAAGATTCATCTTGAAAATCAACATGGCCAGGCGTATCTAAGATATTACAAACGTAAGACTTTTGCTTCAAATCTTGCAATAATAAACTTATAGCCGATGTCTTAATTGTCATCTCTCTATCAATCTCTAATTTATGATTATCCAAGAATCTTAAAGGTTTAGAACTTTTTTGAGTTATACTTGGATGAGTATCCAATATTAAAGAATCTATAATTGATGATTTCCCAGTATGAATATTTCCTACAATTGCAATATTCCGTATTCTATCAGGAAGTTCTTGTGATGTTTGTAATAGATATTCTCGATTATAAGTTAATTCAGGTAGATTATCCCAATTGTAATCTATTTTCATTCGTTTTTCTATTCTTGGTTTGATGACAGGTTCATTGGAGGGAGCTATTGTAGCTTGTGATTGGATATATACAGTTTCAGATTGATCAGTGTCAATTGTATGTTTGACTAGTGCTTGTTGTTGTGTTTCCTCTTCTATCACTTCCTCATCACTTACATCCTCCTCCTCCACTTGTTGTAAATCTGGGAGTGAAGAAACTTCATCTTCTGAATCAGATGGTTCTCCAATTAAGTTCCCAAACTCATCATACAATTCATCGTCACTGTCCATTGTGTGTTGACTATAAAAGTGTGTGAAGATAAATTGGTGATGAGTAGGTTTATGCAATGAGTGTGGAAAAATTGAAAATTTAAATGCGGCTCACTTGGTATGAGCGATGAACAGAAGAGCAAAACAGAGAAGAGATTAATTACAAATGAAAAGTTGAATAAATTATTCTATATTATTTTTATATGTATGTCATTATGTGTTAGTCGATGTGGGTGGGTGAATGGTTAATTATAATAATACAACTATAGAGTGTATGATTAACTCTCTATGATAAAGTTTGATATTTTCTTAATTCAGTTAATAAAGTTTGTAATTGAACATCACTAACTTTATTAGTTAAACTTGGAATTAATGATTTAGCTTCTTCAGCATCTTCACATTCTAATGTCCCTAATTGAGCCAATTCAAATGGATGTAAAGGTTCAATTGCTGCCAGTAAACTAAAATCATTTAATAATTTCTCAACTGTTTCTGTTGAACTTGAATTCTTAAATCTGGCAAAATTTGATAAATAATTTAAAGTCTTATGAATAATTTCATTTGAATTGGGACCAGCTAATTCCATATTTGAAATCTCATCTTCTTTTTCATTATCTTCATCTTCATCATCTTCATCATCATGATCTCCTTGCTGTTGTTTACTATCCGTTGTACTTCCATCTCCATTATTCTCTAGCTTCACTTTCTTTTTATTACCAGTTAGTTTAGATTTTCGTTCTTTTAAAGCAGCTCTAATTAATAATCTTGCTTCTGATAAATTTAATGCAATTAATTGTTCTTGTTCTCCTGAATTTGTTATTTGAGTTAATTGGAATTCTGGTCCTAATTTCAATATAGCTGCATTCTCTTCATCATCGATGTTTTGAGTATTTGCCTTTCTTCTTCTAACTCCTAATGCACTAGTACTAACATTCATCCTTTATTTGTTTAATTATTATGTATCTATTAATGGTCAATTATCAATTACTGTGTTTCCTGTACAATCAACTTATTTATTTTGTATCCTGTAAAAGTTGATTTATCTTAATTTCCTTCTGGTGTTTGTCTTTCTATTTTAAAAGAAGTATTTTCGTTTAGTAACTTCTCTAAACTGATCTCTAGTCTTTATTGTTGGATCTTCGTTTCTCTTTGTCTCTTTTGGAGGTTTGAAGATTTGAACAAAATTGAAAGAATTGAAATGAGATTTTTTTTCCCTGCTGGGTTTTTTATCCAAAGGCACACGACTTTTTTCACAGACCTATATTAGTCTACAAGTGGTAGCCCTTGAGATCTATGTGTAGCCTACAGGAAAGTAGAGAACCAATATCTGTAAGTGATGTACATTTATATTACAAGCAAACAATGAATTTACTTTTTGAAAAGTTGGACCAATTCTCTCTTTTCTCCATGACCCTACCTCTCTATCAATTTAAAATGAATATTTTAATGCAACTAAAATGAAATTGCGAAATCTTCAAAAAAACAAATTGCAAAAATTTATTTACTTATCAGTTACATCAAACTTATATTAATATACGTCGCAGGGATTGAAGTTATCAAGTAAATGCTTATGATTATAATTAGAATACTTAGAAAAATTATGACATTAATAATAAAACCGTATTTATATATGAAACAATGTAAAAATATAAATAGTATATGCAAAGTAAGTCATGTGCCCATTCAATCTTCACTCCTTCTTTAATTAATCCTTCATTACTCCTAAATCTCCAAATTAGGTACATTATTAACAAATGGATGTTTCAATGCTTCTTGTGGAGTTAATCTCTCCAACGGATTAAGATTCAACACTTTTGTCAAGAAATCAATCAATAATAACCTTTCTTGACATTCCTTCTCAATCATAGAATTCGTCATTTTCTTAAATGGTAATTTATAATTCAATACAATATCTTTTAATACTTTATGTTTGAAATAATTCTTATTCGGTTGTTCCTTCTTCTTGCTACTACCACTATGATGATCAGCTTTTGCAGTTTCAAGAAATTGTAAATATTCTTCATAGGTTTTAATACGATAAGTATGTTTACCATCATTAGTACCCGTTTTCTTGAAAAAGTTTAAAGAATTTCTCCCAACTTCAATCATATGTTTTGGCGGCATGCCTAACATATCGACAATTTTCCATATTTGGTTATATTCAGAAGTACCAGGGAACATCGGTAATCCCAAGAATAATTCACCAACAATACATCCTAAGGACCACATATCTATTGATTCAGTATATGGTAATCCTAATATCACTTCTGGTGATCGATAAAATCTAGATTGGATATAAGTGTAGATTGTTTGTCGAGTGAAACATGCCGATCCGAAATCAATGACTTTTATATTCGGTTTATCAGGTTGGACCAATAGAATATTCTCTGGTTTTAGATCACAATGAATCATTTGGAAATTCTTAAGTTGAGCCATTGCTTCTAATAATTGTTTAGTTAATAATTTCACTAATTTCATATTTAATCCTTGGAATTGATTTTGTTTTATCAATTCATATAAATTCGATGCCAATAATTCAAACACTAAACATAAATGTTCTTTATGCATAAATGTATCCAATAATCGTATAAAATTCTTCCCATCACTATTGGAATTCAAAAATTCTAATAACCTTACTTCTGTCAATGATTGATTCATATATGCTGGTTTTGATTTAATAACCTTGACAGCACATACTGTTTGATTAGTTAAATTCTGACATTTAACAACTTGTCCAAATGTCCCGGAACCCAATAAATCCAACACCATATATTTCCTCCCTTCTTCCGTCCCCAATATATCATTAACATATAAAATATAATCACTCTCTTCATTATCATATCCATTATTAAACTTTGGATCAGATGGTTTTGTTAACACTCTCTTTGGATTTGTCGATTTTGAATATTGGAATTTTCTTGGTTGACAAATACTATAACTCTCAGTTAAATACACGGACAAGGCATTCACAGGAGATATATGAATAGAGTTCACCGAACACCTACGATATTTCGGTTGTTGATGAATCTTGGGTTTCAAATCCAATTTCGAATATATTTTTCTCGCTTTTGGTGCCGGTTTCCTAAATTTACCAATTTTTTGATGTTGTAATGCTTGTTGATATTGTTGATATTGGACAATACTCGCCGATCGTCCCAATCTATTACTTGGCGGTATATAATATGCACCACCAACACCGGCCCCTCCTTGCTGTTGTTGTTGTTGAAATTGATAATTATTACTCGGCATCACCGCAAGTGATTGTCGTCTATTTATACCAGGAGGAACACCAGCAAGTATTCCTCCACCAGCTCCACCACCTGGTCCGAATTGATTATTCATGAATTGAGCAGGGTAGGCATTGGCCTGTTGCTGTTGGCCATATCCATATGCTCCTCCAGGTCCTCCACCTCGTCCACCTGTACTTGAACTAGTACCTCCATAGAAACTGGATGCATCTACTGCTGACATTTTTCTGTCACCGCCGAGATTGACCTCTTGGTTCGCGAAATATTGATTGAATGGATTGTCTGCTCTAGTTGGAGGATGTATGAATGGGGGTTGTTGCTGTCCTTGCTGTTGCTGTTGTTGTTGATCGTCATATTCGTATGTCGTGGGTAATTGATTTGCGAATGATAGCCTTTTATTAAGCAGCTGCAGTTGTTGTAATTGTTGTTGCTGCAATAAAGGGATGGCATTTGTTTTAGTGGGTGATTGCGACATATTGGAGGTGGCTGCTGCTAATAATGACCCCGGAGCAGTTTGTTGTTGAGAGAACCATGGATTACGGAATCCTGGCATTTGATTCTGTTTCTGCTGCTGTTGTTGTTGCTGTTGTTGCATATCCACATCTTGATTGTTGAACGGCTGTTGCCCTTGTTGTCCTTGCTGTTGTTGTTGCTGTGGCCCTGGTGGAGGTAAATGCCAACTTCCACCTATTGAATTGTGCCTGTTGTAGTTGTAACTATTATAACTATTGTATGCCATAGTGGTATTATTCTTATAATGATGATTGCTATTTACCCTACTAATGGCAGTGACTCTTCAAAGTAATTAGAAATTAATAGATTTGTGATTTGGGAAGTGGGAAGTTGAAGGGGTTGTTGTACAAAATCCTTCGGTAGGTAGTGTAATGTGTGTCAAATTAAATTTGTTTTTTTTTCTTCTCCTCCTCAAAATTTCATCAACAAAATTCCCATATAATTACGAGGGTATTTAATGTGTGACTGAACGAAAAATCCCGAGGATAATCCCGGGGGTTCCATTACCATAGTTAACCCATAGTTAAGCTCAGTAACATCCGAGGAGTGACGCATTTTTTTAATTTACGTAAATTTTAAATAAATTAACAAATTTCATTTCTATAAAATTGGGCAGAGTAATTAAAAGCAACAGAAGTAAAAAATTATATATATACAGTAATAAGCAACTAACTACTATACAATTGTGGGGGGAAAAGAAGGAGGGTAAAAGCTCCTCTTTTAGGTGGCGGTGTGTATGTTTGTAATATGTCTTATGAAGTGTGTAGATAAAGAATGTGTATTGATTATTTGGATGTGTTTGGCTTGTGGAGATATTTGATTGGAAATAGCCATTTTGGTGTATTGGGTAAGGTGACTATAATGATAACAATGGGAATGATAATAAATATGTACAAGTAAATCGAATTTTCATAGTGGTTGGGCATCTCTTTTTTAGTTTCATCGCACAACAGCAACAACAGGATAAATATGTTTTTCATAAAAGTACAAAGGGTTTTTGCATCTAAGCAGCAAGTTGAACTGGTTCTTCAGGATAAGCTGGGGCCATAGTAGGTTGAGCTTGCATTCTTTGCATCATCATACCAACCCCTTCGAAAACACCTAATAAACAAGCACAAGTAATAGCTGAATTTCTAGTATGTTTCCATCCACCTCTAATCGCAAGTGCACCACCAGTGAAAAACCCAGCAATAACTGCATTCCAAGCATCTTCTCTCTTACGTACTCCCTTGACGGCACAATCAAATGTCGAGAATAAACCACCCCAAACACCGAAATTACCTCCAACTACTGGTGCTCTGGCTTTGATGGCACTCATGGCTCCATATCTTCTTTCTCCATATGGAGAATTACGGAATCCTTTAATACCATGCCATACACAACCACCAATTGCTCCCATAGCAAAGGCACCTCCGAAATCATTTAAGATAACAATAGGACATGGGTCTCTTGTGTGATCAGCTGACATTGTTTATATTATTATAGTATGTAGTTGTTTTGGTTATGTAAGTAGATATATACAAGTAAACTGGTGGCGAAGGTTGATAAGATGATGATCTTCTTTTAGCCCGGATTTTGAAAAATTTATTACAAACTGATTTCTTTTTTTTTTTCTATTTTGCCTATACAATTCATTGTTACTTTAGAAAAATTTTTACTATGGCGGTATAGAGTTTACCATAGACCGAGTTAAAATAGGAATGGTTGGCACTACCATATGCAAATTTATAAATTTGCAACCGAGTTTTCATAGTCTAATACAAGGTCCCCCACAAACTAATTATTGAAAACTTGTCTATAATTACCTAAATTACTTACTTATATATGTGAATAATTTTCTATTTACATAACATGCTATATGACGTGTTCATAATCATCATTATTATTATCATCTTCATCGTTACTACTACTTCTTGTACTCAACCCACTAGATTCATCATCCTCAGTCAACTCTCTCTTAATATGCAAACTACCACGTATGCGTTGATGTACATCAACCACGCTCTCTCTATCACTGTCTATCCTATTCGAATTCCCTTCAAGTGGAATATACTCATTTCTGCGACTTACTTGTATACTACCACCACCAATGCTACCTCCCTTTATCACCTCTCCAATATCCCCTTTCTCTTCCAACTCATCCTCCTCTTCATCCCCTACAACAAACTGATCCAAATTCTTCCTAGCAGCACTCTCCAAATTATTCAATTCGAAATAGTCAGTATCCAATTGTGGCCCCACAAAACTATTTCTCCCCCAAGTCACATATTGTAAACTAGCAATCCCAATAAATAACACAAACACAACCACGGAAAAATTCATCAGTTTCCAACTCAAATGTTTTATAACTGGTGGCATACACAATATAAAAATCGACAGTATGACCCAAATCACAGATATTCCATTAATTACCCAACCTATTTTATATAATTTAAACGGAGCCCCTCTTAATTTTCTTCTCTTGTTCAACATGAGACAAAATATCGGTATTCCATTCGCCAAAGCCAATGAAATCACCGCAGCACCCATGAAGGCATTGAATGCGGTTTGGGAAATAAGTGAAAGAAATGATAATGTTCCACAGACAGCCATAGATAACAATAATGCATTTCTTGGGATTGTGTATTGTTTGATTGAATTCACTTCCGTGAAAAGATGTGACTTTGGTAGCCCGCCATCACGAGCTAATGCATAAGTAGATCTCGAGGCCGTGGTTAAGGATCCAATTGATTGGAATAAAACGGTGCCGATCATAAGTAATGCCATCAAGAATGAGACGATGTATGATTCTGTTGCGAGTTTGAAAACTAGATCAATGGGCATGATGTTGGGGGTATCGTCAAGGAGGAGTTTTAATTCCGGGAGGATTGTAAGGATGGGGATGATGAAGATTATGCCGGTAATAGTGGCCATTACTATGGCGGAAATGGCACCTTTTGGCATATTACGTTCGGGGTTTTTCACTTCGTCGGTTATACTGAATAACATCCCATATCCGGTGATTGTGAATGAAGGGGATTGTAATCCGATTATGAAGGCTAATGGATCAGGCCAACCTGAACGAGTGTTATCAAATGTGGTTAAGATTTCTTTAATGGAGTTGGTTCTTTTGGCAAAGAAGATCAATAAGAAATCAATGGCTAATACGGTATATATGGTCCATAAAATACACATCTTATTAATCTTTTCTAAATGTTTTGAAAATACGAAATTAACAAATCCGGCAAATAATAAAATGGCAAAAAACACAATCAATACCAAGATCTTATCTTCTTTATATACATAAACATCTTTTAACCCAAAGATACTTAATATGAATTGTGCCCCTCCAAACATGATACTAATCGCATAAGTCCAATTACCAATTAATAAAAACCATCCAGTATACCAACTACTTACTTTTGAATATTTTTCATTACTCAAGATAGCACTGAAATGATAAACACCACCAGCAGTAGGATATTTACTAATAATTTCACAAAGACTTAAAACTACACATAAACTTAAGATTCCAACAAGTAACCATCCATATAAGATAGTTACATTAGCACCATCCATTAATGAGATCCACAAAGTAGAACTCAATCCAAATGGAACTCCCATCACGGAGAAACCTAACCCAATAACCGAAGTTACTGTAAGTTTTCTTTCAAGGTCTTGAGTATATTTGAAATGCTCAACTTGTTCAATTTGTTCATCATCATCTCCTTCTTGAATTAAAGAACCAATGTACCTAATAGGTGCCAGGGATCCTATATCTGAGAAATTAAAGTTATGAGATGTATATGAAGGAGGTGGTGCTTCTGGATGTATTGGGAATCCATTTGGTGGTTGTATAGTGGCTGGTGATGGTGATGATGGTGAAGTTGCTGTGATGCCGGATAGATGGGAAGGCGTAGATTGGAATACTGATGGTGGTGGTTGTGGGAATACTACAGTTGAATGATCTGATTGGGTATCTCGTATTGTCATTTACTTGTGTATATTATTTATATATTCTATTAGTTGTTGAATTAATATATGGGTAGTTACGTACGTAGTTACTCTTTTGAAGGCTGTACTTACGTAAATTGAAAAAGTCAAAATAAGAAAAAAAAAGCAAAAACGGTCAAGAAAAAAAAAAAAGATTTATTATTTATCAAAAAGATCGGTTGTGAAGTATCGGTTGTATATGATCTACAATCTTATAAGAATTTATTAGTGGATTTACAAAATGTCTAATTATTAATAAATATGATAAAAAAGCAAAAGAACTCAATAGAGGGTTTCTTTTCTTTGTAAGTCAGTGTATGTCCAATAGAAAGTGTGTGTGTGTTGAGTGAATTTAATTATTAAATTAAAATCCCTCTTTGCTACCTGTAACTAAATTTAGAATTTCCCTCAAATTGTTTATTTTGATTTGGTAAACAATGAACAATAAATCGCTTAATAAATAAGTTAAGGTTTTCTACTGCAACCAATCACCAATTGTTAACAATTTTGCAACATACGCATATTAAACAGAAATTCAACTTTTAAGAATGATACCCTTACTCAGTCTAATCAAGAATTTCTATAAGAACGATACCCTTGATCAGTCTAATCAAGAGCTTCTATTGTTGGAAGACTAGTAAAAGGTCTAACGAGAACCACTTTATTTGCACAGTAAATATAAGGGTTCTTTGAAAAATATTTAAGGCAGAGGACTTCTCCTTGATACAATGGCTTTACTCGATGACAGAGATATAAAAGATTGGTTACAATTATTTATTATTTGTTCAGGAAAACAATAAGACTAGGAATTGTAGTAGAATGTATTTTATTTTCTCTACAAGGTTGCAAAAAATCCTAACCAAAAAATTGCAAAAAATGGAAAACTCGAAATTGTCAGCCAAATAATGTTCTAATACCCTTATATGGTAGACAATTGTTGAAAGTATATAATTAGTTTATTTGTAGTAAATTGAGATGAGCTGGGCTGAAGTATGCAAAACAATGGTTCCTCCATTGTTTAAGTCTACCAAATAACCAAATACAGTAATTTGAAGGTCACACCTTTTGTCATTAGAAATGAGCATTAATTTGTATCCATAATAGACTTCTGCATTGTATAACATTGGTGTCGCATAAATAGATAAAGGCTTATTTGGAATCTGGAAAAATTCACCATTAGCAATGTTAAAATCGCTTAACTTAAGCAACCTCATTCCTAAAATTTGAATGTTCGACATTAGAGAACAATTACCTCTTTCAAATTCAGTGGTAATATTAACCACATTTTTTGGTCAATTATAAGTCCTTCAAAATAGGTGAAAACCTCACCATCGCTGGTTCTGATTTCAAACACCCGATCTTCAATACGGTCACAGACTCTAAAGGTAAAGGATTGATTGGCTTCTGTTTTGACGTTTATTAATACGGTGGTGTCACCGTTGGCATCAAAATTACTCTCATCTGAAGGGATAAGTATTGGATTTGTTGAAGTCATTGTAGTTTTGTTTAATGATAAAACCAATACGGATGAATTATGAAAAGTGGAAAACAGGGTAGTTTCTAAATTAATCAATGGTGGTGTAACTTGACATTAATCTTATCAATTCTAATTCCTAAAGATACTAAGATATCAGGATAAGAAAGTGTTTGTGAGGCGTTTGCAAGGCACCAACTCGATAATTGTTGGAAACTCGTGAAGATAAATCATCCAACAACAGTTTGTAAACCCTACTTTTTAACAAAGCATTCCCTTGACGCCGCTTTTTCATCAAGATGCAATACAATACAAGAACCGTCGTTAAAAACTAAGTTAAAATAGTGAGTTGCAACCCACGATTTCTATCGTTGGGCACAAGCATCAGTTTATTCCCAGCTGAACTTCAGCAGTATACAAAGACATCGTTGCGTAGTATCATAACCTTTCGTTGTGAAATTAAATGAAGTTACCATCATTTCTATGTAAATGTTCTAAATCTAGTAACATCCAACCAAGGATTTGAATAATAGACATTAGCAAAAGGTGCTTATCTTGAAAATTTGTAGAACCAAGTGGAATGGTCCGGTTTTGTTCTGATTTGATATTTATTAAAGCAGTAGCATCCCCATGAGCATTATAATTGATCTATCAGATTAAATTGACCAATTGATTGAGCCCGTGAAAGGCAGATGACAACCCCATATACTTGGATCAGGCTGTGTCAAACTACAAGGTGATGGTTTAGGTGTGATAAGAGGAAGACGAATTTGGAAAATCATTTGCTTGAGTATAGCGAGAAATATTCAACACTCTTTCCCTATATTCAAATAACCGATCCTCTAAATTGATTAGCTTGAGCATCCTTATAGCACCCACCTTCACACAGAAGAAATAGCTTCTACCCTCCAAATTGGTTATATTGAAAACATGCTTGCATCGACGAATATTGACTACCTTTCACAAACAACCAAGCCCGAAATATTTTCTAACTTAATAAATCACTTAAAAATAAAACTAATTTTGAACAACACCTATTTAAAACCCACAAATCCGATGATCTGTAACCTTATGGGGATTACCAGCTAAGAAACGTAACTGAGATGAGTTGAAAACTACACACAGATATTCTTCTTTAGAGAATGAATAGAGTTGTTGTTGTTGATAATTGTTGCAATATGGTATCGCTCATCACAACTAGTAAAATTCCCCAGAAATATTTTCAAGGTTAAAAAATGAAACATCAAAAACCCTTTCGTATCCATCCAAAAGAAGACTGAACTGTCACCTATGTCATTTTGAAGAAACGTTGACATTTTCACTAATTCATCCCTATTAATGAAAAACAGTTGGTCTTATATGTCCTTATTTGAATCGCCAAGGTAAGCACCTTCAACAATTATTTTTTAGTTGCGATAAAGTTTGTGGCGCATTCCAAAAATAATCCAAAAAAATAATTCATTAAAAAATATATCCTAAAAAATAATTTTATTTTTTCATTTATAAAAGTTGAAAATCACTCTTTGTATTTTTCTGTCTTGTTTCAAAAATTGAGCAAGACGGTATCAGTTGAACTGCATGACCAGCACCAACGAGGAATTATATGAAACTGAATGGTAGTAGAGGTGGTGATCTTCGTGAATGCCGGTCATCGAGCTGTTCAATCTAAAGGGAGGTAAGAAATATTATCCGATTGTGGGTCTTTCTTCCGCTAAAAGTGGATGGTATATTTAGTCCCCACCACCATATATTTAACTACGAAGAAGTCATATACTTGGAGGAATCATATGTTGTCAACGGTTGAAATGCCCCTTCTGATTTTGTGGAAAGCGTGGTCTAAAGTATTTACTGCTATTAAAAAATCCATACGAAGAGCGATACTTATCAGTCAGATGACATTTATGTTACATGTCAACCGAAGGACAATTTATTTCTGGGTTTCATATGATGATGAATTTAGAGCGAACGAGATTTAAATTATCTTGAGCCAAATCTCAAAAAAAGGGTGTGTGTCCACCGAAGGAGCGTCCTACTTATTGCTGAAGATTCTCTAAGAAATTTCGAGTAATCTGAAAATTCATCGATCGCTAGTTCTACGGTTTGGTAACTAAGCAAAAAGAAAACTCTATTTGAAATGGAAGCAAATATCATTTCTTTTGTATAGACTCACATTTAAGGATTTGTCGTTGTAATCTATAAAGTAGAAACAATTGAAAAATTAATTGACCACTATGTGCTATACAAATCTGTGTGACGGAAATATTTGAGGTTTGGTTGAAGATCACTAAGAAAATTTTTACACCGAGATCCATCGAGTTGCAAACAAAAACATGAAATTCTTGTTGCTAGAGTATTTTTTTTCTTGAGCTCCACTGCCTAATGGCTAGTAAAGTTTACCATCACCTACATGTTGTTTATACATTCCATTAAAAAAGATAACTAAAACTATAATCCGACCAAGTGAAACCGAACAGGATCAGGAAAACAATCTATGTAACCTTCCGTAGTAATCCCTTTGCAGATGCTTAATCTTACTTATCAGGACAAAATGGAAAATACGAATGCTAGAATATGCGTGTCCTGTAAAAAGGAAAGGCCAAACGACGAGCCAGAAGAAACCAGAAAGTTTAAATTGTGCACGAAGTGTCGCATCTCTAAACGAGAAAGAATGAGAGATTTCCATCGAAAGGTCAAACAGACTTTTCAAAACGGAGACAGGATATGCGGGAAATGTAAGAAGAAGAGGCCAGATGATGAACCAGAAGAAACTAGAAAGCTTTATCAATGCATAGAGTGTCGTCTCTATAACATTCAATACCAGAAAGCGGTGCGGTCATATATCCAGAGGAGTTGTGAAAATGGAGTTAGGTTGTGTATCAAATGTGGGAAGGAAAGGAAGAATGATGAGCCAGAGCTGGCCCAAAAGTTCAAAGCTTGCCCAAGCTGTCGTCTCTATCGACGTCAAAAAAATAAAACTTCGCCCAAGAACATCAAGGAGAGTCTTAATAGTGGAATTCGAATATGCCTGAGATGTCGAAAGAAGAGACCAGACGATGAACCGGAGGAAGACAGAAATTTCAAGTCATGCTCAGCATGTCGACGAAATGATCGCCAAAAAAAGAACGAGATCCGCAGAACTATCAAAGAAAGAAGTAATAGTGGCACTAAGTTATGTCTCAAATGTGGAAAGGCCAGGCCAGATGATGAGCCAGGGGAAGCTAAAACCCTCAAATTGTGCCCAGCGTGTGTTCTACATACGTCTCAAGGAGAAAGGGTAAGCATTGCTTCCCATGACATCCCTTCCGAGGCGAAGGCACAAGTCTCATCCTACGCGAACAAGGAAGAAACACACATCTCGTACCCCCTACCCACCGTGGACCATTTGTATAACTTCGATGCTCATTCGAAGTTTCCTCCAAGTGTAGAAGCACCCCCCAATAGTGACTTCGTTCAGACTGCACCTTCGGTTCAATATGAGTTAAACTTTCCAACGTGGTCCGCAGTTGGAGATAATGAGTGCACACATCTACAGATTCTGGAGTCAGGAATGTCAGATCTCTTTCCTATATACCAAGATCCTGAGCCCACGAGATTGAAAACTGAAGAAGTCCTGGGACCTATGAAAGACCCGGACAATGTGGACGTATCGATTCCCATATCGGATATGGAAGTCATTTCAAACAAAGATGATGAAGATATCGAGTGGGCCGAGGAACCATGCTTCCACCTGATAGATTTCTCGGACTCAAGGTTGCTGGACATAACGCGGTCAGATCCTGAATTACGGCATGAGTATCGAAAATGTTTGGAAAATGAAGGTGTTATGAGCTTTTTGGAGCGATATATACCAGACACCATGAATAAGTTTGATATTTGCAAAATGATCATCGATTTAGGATATCCTAAAGAAAGTATTGAAGATTATGAACATCTTACACTGACTGAAGCTATTCAGGTTTTAATTGAGTTAATTCGAAAAGACATTTCCCAAGAAACTGATTGTTGAAATTTCAAATCATTAAAACATCGAAACCTATGAGTAGAAATCAAGGCTATATTGACGGTGAAGCTCGTCGGGTTTTAAGTCCGAGCCACACTGTGTCACAGCATAAATGTACGAAAATTACCAGTTTATAGATTATTTATATATTTAAGAATTATCGGAACAAATGAGAACTTACCTGAATTAGAAATCATTCACCTATTGAATTGAGTCCTCTAAAACCAGTACTGTCACAAACAACCGTGATGAGTATTCAGTGAATGACCTTTCCGAATACTTAACTTAAGTGTCGACAAAAGAGGGATTGCTGTAAGAATATGTGAAATCGTATCCTACAAGACACCTCCTGCTAAAAACGAAAAAAGTTTGCAGCCAACATTTCAATAGCAGCATTATTGTAACGGGCTCTGAAAACAAGAAATTTCTACTGATAGACCACTTTAATATGATAAATGGGTCTTCTTCTTGTTGCTTGCATAACTTTATTCCGTTTGTAATCCTGTTTCATTACTGATACGAACATTGTCTACTTTTCGTGAAAGTAAGGTATTTGCGTTCTATTTTTAATTATACCCAAATCGAGAATATTTTTTAACTGAACAATCTACTGGTTAAAAAATAAAACTAAACTAGAACTTTCACAATTAAAGATGTCATCAGATGATCTGAGGTCTCATCGAGTAGCATACAACACGTTTATGCACTGGTTTGAGAAACTTTCAACACGTTGTTGATGTATCTCCTACTGAGATAAGGACAATATATAGCGCAATGTCCGTAAAAGCATAGTGACGTCAGATCTTGTGAACTCATTTCTCCTTTCGATTCGCTAGGTTCTTAATACATCTGAAACTTACCTATTGACAGCATTAACATTCGATTTAGCTAAATGTTGTAATTTTGTCAATCAGAACTAGTTTGAACAAGGCTAGCCCAATTCCAGGGAAAAATTTTCATGTTTAAGTAATGAAACATGAATGACCCTTGCACCCCCCCTGCCCCCCCAAAGTGGAATAAACAATTCCTATCTAATGAAAAGTTGATACTGAGGTCCTTAGTAATAGCTATTGTTCTAATTACCAAGAGATAATTTATATAGAGTCAAAAATTTCTGGGCTACTATATGCTTATCTTATTGGATGAGGAACCAGAAAATTATTATTTAGTCGCAACGGTTTGGGGGCTTAGTCTAGAAGAAAAACAATGCAAAAAAATATTTCGTAAAAAATATCCCCAACCAAAAAAATAATATAATTTTCAAATATAAGTAGTGGATAACTTTCTCCTTTTAACTTTTCAATCTTTTCACTTGCTAGAAGAATACAGGTCTAACAGCATGAAGCCCACAAACGAGGAATTATATAAAACAATTACTGGTGGTAGAGGGGATCTGCGGGAACGCCGTCCATCAAGATCTTCAATCGATAGTGAGGCAGGGTCTCATGGATCTAGATCTTCTCAAGAAACAGAAGAAGATGTTTGTTTCCCGTTGTTGAGAGAGCATGTTCGAATCAATGGGATTGATTTCGACGAAATCGAAGAGTTTATCAAAGACGAAACTGATGAGAAAAATTTGATTATGAAACAACAACAATTGCTCGCAAGGAAATATACCGGTGATAACGACTTTGCCACAGCTAGTTCATCATTCCACTCAAATGCCGCTTTGAAATATACTCCCAAGAATATTTTGAGAAAAACGCAAACTGGATTATCCAAAATAGCTACTCGTCGCACAAGTACAAATGGATTCGAACAAGTTAAATCCACTAAAGCACTTTCTCAAGATACTCCTTCCTCGTTTGAAGAAGATGAATATGAAATCAAACAACTCCATCCCCAGCACAACATTAACGACCAAACAACAACTTCGTCCACATTAGAACAAGTAACATTTGGAGGCACCCGTATCACCGATGGTTATCTTGGCTCCGCTCCCGATCGTTTCTCCTTCTTCCATTCCAACTCAGAAGAAACCATCCATGCACCCGACTTTCCATCACTCGTGAGCCCTGGTCAGTCGGTCCGTGATTTATTCAAGAATGGAGAAGAGACATGGTGGTTAGATTGTACATGTCCAACCGATGCCGAAATGAAGATGTTGGCCAAAGCCTTCGGAATCCATCCTTTAACTGCAGAAGATATTCGAATTCAAGAACGTCGGGAAAAAGTTGAATTATTCAAAAACTACTATTTTGTTTGTTTTCACACTTTTGAAGGAGATATTGAAAGTGAAGATTATTTGGAATTGATAAATGTATATATGGTAATATTCCGGGAGGGGGT